CATACAAAGAAAATCTGTATAAAATGTTTTATAGATGGCACCTTCCACCAGCAAGATTAGCAAAAATGTTTTAAATATGTCAGATAGATGTTGGAAGTGTAAACATAATATAGGCACGTATTACCACATTTGGTGGACATGTGGTAAGGCAAAGGCCTATTGGAAAAATATACATATGTGGTTAGAAAAAATATTGGGCGAACAAGTGGATTTTAAACTTGAATTTTTTTTACTAGGCATTATGCCTGAAAAGACTAATAAGCAGAAACTATATTTAATTTTACACATCAATACAGTAGCGAGAATAATTTTTGCACAATACTGGAAAAAAGAAGGACTGCCATCAGAGGAAGAAATAATCAGGAAAATATTGGAATGTGCAGAGATGGACAGATTAACTATGAGGTTAACGATAAAGAAGATACTGACTACTATCAAATTTTGAATTTATTTTATTCTTGGTTAAAGAAGAGAATGAAGGATTAGGAACTGAACATGTATTAACATAGCAAACTCCAGACAACTTGTTGATTGGAAAAAATAACATATGTTGATTCAAAAAAAATTATAAAATAAATAAATAAATAAAATGGTCACACAAGCATGTATGTAGGCTCTTTTCAATCTTCAGCCCTTACTCTGATGATGTCAACAGTTAAGTTGATGAAAGCTCAGTAATAAAAAAGGCTATTTATATCCCAGATTTCACTAATTTTATTGATTTTTAAAAGTGCAACCTATATTGCCAGGTAATATACCCTATCCTTTTAACTGATTAACTCAGAAAAAGGAGGAAGTGGGTATATATGGTTAAAATGTAGAGTCATATTTTACAATCACTATTTGAAGATGAGTTTTCATTTCAGTAGAAAATTATCTATTTTGATGCCAGCACAATATAGCACAATTATGGGACATAAAATCCATCCTTGATACTTTTTTAAAAAATAGTAACTATTCTTTAATGAAACGAGTGAAAAGTATTTTATTTCCTTTGACTACCCTACCAGGAATTTTATTTTTTGCCACCAATATAAATAGCCTATTGTAAAAGAGCTATTCTGAGACAGCAATTATTTTTCTAGAAAAAGATGACCAAAATATAGAAATTGAAACTGAAATTAGTAGGTGAGGAAGCACTATAGATACTGCTCAGCCACATTAAGCCACTATTAAGAAAACAACGATCAATCATAGAATAAGCTAAAATTGTAATTCAAGTCTTTCTTGCAATGAAGAGAGATTACAATATGGCATATTTTTAACACTGAAGAAAAAACTATTATATAGAAAAAGTCCTTCCTCTAAAATAGTTGTATTATAATTAATCATATCTCTGTAGCCTGTTTTTGTGAGGCTTAGTTATGATCATTCAATATTGTTTCCCCTTACTTTACTCTGCAAATCATGGCTTTAATCAAAATAATAATCTGCATATTAAAACAAAACTCCCTAGGACATAAATATTTTCCCCCTTTTTCATAAGATTGGGAAACTGAAAAAAACTATAAGTAGAAAGCATCCAAGCTCCCAATGGTTTAATTGACCTCCTTTTTGCCTAGGTTGACTTTAAAATTATCTTGTCAGCTTGTATCATTAGGGAGAATTTGAAAGAGTATTCATTCCTTTTGAACAGCATAACTCCAATAGTTTTAGAAAAAATTTAGAAAAATGTTTTATAGATGGCATTTACCACCTGCAAGATTAGCAAAAATGTTTAAACACATGTCTACTAACTGTTGGAAATGTAGGCAAAAGCCAGGCACATACTATCATCTTTGGTGCACATGCCCTAAAGCAATTTTTTTTTTGTCAAAAATACCCATGTGGTTACAGAAAATATTAAGAAAACATATATTTTAAGCCTAGAATAAAATAGAACAGAATAAAATCTGGAAGGGACCTTGGAGGTCTTCTAGTCCAGCCCCCTGCTCATGCAGGAGAACCTATACCATCTCAGACAGGTGACTGTTTAGTCTCTTAAAAATCTCCAGTGATGGAGACAAGGTGTTCCACTGGTTAATTGTCCTCACTGTCGGGAAGTTTCTCAATTCCAGGTTGCTTCTCTCTTTGATCAGTTTCCAACCTTTGTTTCTCGTCCTGCCCTCTGGTGCTCTGGTAAATAACGTGATCCCCTCTTCCTTATGGCAGCCCCTCAGATACTGGAATACTGCCACCATGTCTCCAGTTCTTTTTTTCTTTAGACTAGCTCAAGGGTGTCAGCCTCAATTTCATTGAGGGCCACATCAGCATTGTGGTTCCCCTCAGGGGGCTGGGTGGGTGTGGTCAGGGTGGGTGCAGCCTACTGGGTGGGCATGGATGGAGTGGGTGTAGCCTACTGGGTGGGCATGGCCAGCTCCACATTGTTCGCATCAAGGATGCCTGTGGGGGTCTGGGTAGGAGTGGGATAGATCTGAGAGTCTCTGGCAGAAGGGGGTGGGACCAGGGCAAGTACCAAGACATGGTTCACTGAAGGAGCCTCACTGTTCCTCTCAGGCCATGCGGGGGGGGGCTTATGGAGCTAAGATTGAATGTGTTTCAGCATAGATGGCCACCACAAATTTGTACATTGGCTCCCGGCCGGCCAGGGCTGGGGCCAAGGCAGAGGGAGCCATTCCCTCACTGTTTCCAGGATGGCTTCGTGGGCCACATGAAACCACTTCGCGTGCCGCATCTGGCCCCCGGGCCTTGTGTTTGACATGTCTGGACTAGCCAAACCCAAGTCCCGCAGCCATTCTTCTTATATTTTAGTCTCTAGGCCTTTGATCTTAGTTGCTCTTCTCTGAATTTCTCTTTTTTGTGACATGGTGACTAAAATTGGCTGCAGTATTCCAGGTGTGGTCTTACTAGGGCTTTATAAAGCGGTACTAATACTGCACGTTATCTTGATTCTATGCCTCTGTTTATACAACCCAGGACTGTATTAGCTTTTTTGGCTGCTGTTGCACACTGCTGGCTCATACTCAAGTGATCGTCCACTAGGACTCCAAGGTCCCTCTCACATTTACTGTTTTTAAGCCAGGTCTCGCCCAATCTACACTTAAACCTTTAGTTTTTCCTGCCTAAATATAAAACTTTTGCTTTTCTCCACATTGAAACTCATTTTACTGGATAGGGCCCATTGTTCGAGTTTGTCAAGATCTAGTTATGACTTTGTTTGCTTCTAGTTGTTCACAGATCTGTTTTTTGATGATCTTTTCTAGGATCTTCCTAGGTATTGAGTTAGGCTGATTGGTTTGTAGTTTTCTGGGTCTGTTTTTTTCTTTTCTTTTCTTGAAGATGGGGAACACATCAGCCCTTTTCCATACCTCAGGTACTTCCCCGGTGCTCCAGGATTTATAAAAGATATGATGCAATGGTTTTCAGATAACATCAGCTAATCTGTCAGGTCCCGGTGATTTATACTCATCAAGATCGGATAGGTGTTTTAACATTTTCTTGCTTATTTTAATTTTTGTTCCTAATAAGTCTTTTCCAGTGGGTTTTTTTTGGGGGGGGGGTATATCGGGCTACAGTTTCTTTTTGTGTGAAAACTGATGCAAAGTATGAGTTCAGCAACTCTGCTTTCTTCCTGTTGCCTCTTATTTCCTTGCCATCTTCTCTCTTTAATGAACCTAGTTTCCTTGACTTTTTTGTTGTTGTTAATATGTCAGAAGAAACTTTTTTATTATCCTTAATTTCTGTTGCAATTTCTGTTCTTTGTTCATTCCAAGCCTTTGTTTTCCTGACTTCATCTTTGCATGTTCTAGCTATCTGCTGATAACCAGCCTTTGTTATGTGCCCCCCTTTCCATTTTTTCTATTTGTCCTTTTTGTCTTTCAGTTTGTCAGAGATCTTTGTGCAGTCTTGCTGGTTTCTTCTTGAATTTCTTGCTTTTCTTTCTCATTGGTGTTGTGCTGGACTGGGCTTTTATGATTGCATTTTTCAGGGTTTCCCACACTTCTTGGGTTGTTTTCCCCTTTAGGATTTTCACCCATAGGATCTTTCCTACATTCTCTCTGAGTTAGTTAAAGTCAACTCTTTTGAAGTTTAAGACACTGGTTGGATTGTTTACTATTGCTAGTGTTTGCATTATATTAAATTCCAGTATGACTGGTCACTTTCATTTCATTTATCCAAAATCACCACAAATTTTGCTGTTTCTGCAATTCCACGGAAGACTTTTATTGTCAACTGACTTGCCGTTTTGCAAAATAGCAAGGGGAAAAAAAGAACAAGAGCCCACAACCATAACTCTTGTCTTTTCCTACCATGTTTATATTGCCTCCATCTGGAGGAAAAATTTGTTGATCAAAAGACAAAACAGCTGTATAAGGACTTTATGATGTGTAACATCAGAACAGTGCGTTGGAAAACACCGTCATTAGCACTTCTGTTTTATATAAGCTGTGTTTGAAAGATGGAGGGAAGAAAAACAGACGAAACGAAATTAGGTAGAGATGATTTAATGAACTATCTGCCCCGTTCACACAACCACGCAGAAAGATACACGTAAGTCCAGCGGCAGGCAAATCCAGTTTAAAGAGGAAGCGGAGTCCACTCTCGAATACTTCGGATAATGAAAAAATAACCAGGTGGATCGCCAAGATTTCGAGAGAAAAGTCAGTAGGAGATAGTATTTCCATTTAACCACCCAGTAAAGCGCACCAAGTACCACGCGAGAGCAGCGGTGTCACTCCTCCTTCCGTCAACAGCATGAGAGGTCACGCGGGTACCAGAAACGGGGCCCAACCCCTCGAGGCTGGAGCCGGCTTTGGCACACGCGCGCGGAGTCCGGCACAATCCCCTCTCGAATTACACCTCCAATTATACGGAGCGAGCATTCACGCGCAAACACACATGGAGCCGTACAAGAGACGAGGAGAGGCAGAGAGCCCCAGCCGCACAGCTCTCCCAGTCACCCATCCCAGCCAAGACCGCTTTTTTCTTGTAGCTCCACGCGAGTTCGGAGGTGCAGCCGCCAATCGCCGCACTCCCGGCTCGACTTGCCCCATACTTACCGTTATCCCAGAAGCGTTGGGAGGTGCGCGCACGGCTGAGGGAGAAAAAAAAAAAAAGGAATCCCCTCAGAGCTCGCTTGAGTAGACACAGCCGACAACCTCCCACCCGAACCACTGGCCGAAGAGAGGCTGCTCGCGGCAAGGAGCCCGAGAGGCGGGGCCAAAAGAGAAGGCGCGAGGGAGGGAATACAGTCCAATTCTAACCGTCGAACTTCATTCGCTCTTCCGAAGAGAGTCTATCCTGTCGAGAGAAAGAGGAGGAGAAAGGTTTCCCTGGGTAGCCAATCCATGAACAGAAAATGTACGCGATAAGATAGAATGAGTAGGAATCGGCGCTGGTACTACCCGAAAAATACAGCAGGTTGCAAGGAGGGAGAGGAACCAATCAGAACAAGAAGTAAACGTAGATTTTTTTTTATATAGCCAATCAGAAGACAGCAAGGAGTGACATTAGCCATCAGAAGCCAAATGAGGGGTTGTCTCTTTTTTTTACCCATCCGGGCACAAACCGATACATCGACTAGAATAAAATGGGCATGCGCCGTTGCGTTGCTGATAGCGACGTTTCGCTTATAACCGTTAAGCTAGACGTTCCTAACATCTCGCGCTTTCTTCTTTTATTTTATGCATTGATTTTTAAGCAAGTTAGGGAATTAGAATATTGTTACAAAAAGAACTACCCAGCATAAATTGGGAGGAGACGAGGAAGCGACTTTGCGTGGCCTATGGCTAACCAACTGCAACATATAGGCAGCTGCGCAGGGAAATTATTTTTGCTGTGTGCAATCAATAATTAACGTGCAATCAGTTGCAGGAGAATATACAAGATAAATGGCAAGGAAACTAGAAGGCCAGGAAAACAATTAAGTTTCTACAAACACTGTTTTTCCTAAATAAGGTAATGGTGGATATTCTATTCCGGAAGAGTGTTGTCAATTTCCCCGAGAGCAGGACAGGTTTAAATGGTTTATTACTAGGAAATAATTAGTTTGTATGAAAAACACATTTTGTTGTCTGTGAACAACAAAGATGTAGGAAGGACCAGTGACATGTTTGTTTCAAGAGGCAGATGCTGGAAGGCTGAGAATTATTGAGTGGGATATAAAGACTCCCCATCTATTTTATTTAAAATACTTATTAGTTATGGTGGAATATCCTGACTTTTCACAAGTCTTGAAATAAGATCCTACTATCAATCTAGTCCAGCGGTTCTCAACCTATGGGTCGTGACCCCATTTGGGGTCGATCGACCATTTTTCGGGGGTCACCAAAGGCGGCGATCCGCCATTTTCTCCCCTCCGGGGGCGGTGCCGCGCATGCGCACCGCGCATGGGGGCGTTGCTGCGCTCTCTTCTGGGCTTCTGCAGTGCTCTCTCTCTCTCTCTCTCTCTCTCTCTCTCACACACACACACACACACACACACAAAGAGAAATTTAAAAAAAGTTTCTACAAAAGTGCAGGCTAGTTTGTGCAGATTGGAGTACCATATTCTGTTTGTTCTGTATTCATATTCTGTTTCTCAGAGTAGATACATGCATTTGTAACATTAGAAAGATGCCTTAAAATAAATGATTTTTACCAGTACCAGTTCAAAGATACTATGTAATTGTATTTATATAATTTATTCTTTTAATAGGTTTGGATAAGTATTTTACAAAGAAAAAATTTTAAATAGAATTTTCACCTATGTTATTGCAAAAAGGAACTAGAAGGCTTCCCAATTTATCGCACAAATGAGTGAAATACAAAGCATGACATGACATCTGAAAATAAATTGAATTTATTAATTTATTTAAAATAAATTATCAAAAAGGATTTAAATTGCACCAGTTATAGGTCAGGATGGAAATTTAGATAATTATTGATTCATAACAGTCATAAATAGCTTCTTCCCCTGAGAAATTTGTTTAGCATATGTAGTATACCATATCTGACATGAAGCCTAGATATATTATTAATAAATAATTATACTGCTTATTTATTAAGTAATAAATAATTTAAGATATTAGGAAGTATTTAGGATTAAATTTCCAAGGGAATGATTTGAAAAAGTGGTTCATCAGTGTCAAGAAATAGAAAGGTTCTGAGTTTAATAGTTTATACGAGGGAAATTCGGAAATAAATCTCCATTTGAGCATGTGCGAGAAATAAGTGGGGATAGCGATGCCCATCCTATGGCACTATGAGCAGTAGTTCAGTAGGCAGTGAGGAATGGAAGGAGAAGGTTGTGTTGCATTTGACTCGTGCACTAGGTCAATTGAAAATGAACCCTGCCATAGAAAATCCCACCAAATGTGAAGTGCATGCGTTAATACGATTCCTGTGTGCAAGAAAAATTTCGGCAGCTGTGATTCATTGCAAACTGTAATGTTTATGGATCAAATGTAATGAGTGAATGTGTCATATGTCAATGGTGTCGCGTGTTTAAAGATGGACGAACTGATGTGCACGATGAGGCAAGCAGTGGCCGCCCATCTGTAGTCAGCGATGAACTTGTGCAGGAAATTGACAAAAAGGTCCATGAAATCCATTGTTTCATGATATCTGCACTTTCTTTACATTTCCCCCAAATTTCTCAGACTGTTTTGTACGAGGTAGTGACAGAAAATTTGGGATACTGCAAATTCTGTGCTTGTTGGGTACCAAAAGTCCTTTTTGAGGAGCACAAAACACACCAAATGGGTTCATGATGCTGTTATAAGATAGCTTCATTCCCAAGTGGAAGATTTTTTTGCAGAAGGAATTTCAAACCTTGTAAGACAGTATGACAAGTGCCTCAGTTTGATTGGCAATTATGTCAAAAAGTAATGTAATGTAGTTTTCTAATGTATAGGATAAAAGTTCTGTATCTGCGAGTGTCTTTCATTGATAACCAAACGGGCGTTTATTTCTGAATTTCCTTCATATAAATGGTTAATATATTAGGGCAGACATGTCAACTCGCAACGTCACATGAGCTTTTTTCCTATTGCCGGTAATGGGGTGGGCGCGGTTTGCTTGTGATACGTCCAGCCCGCGGGCCGGCAGTTTGACACCCCTGTATTAGGGTTTATATATTATATCTATTACATTATGGTTAATATATTATCCTCTATAATAATTTGAAAATTAAAATCAATATTTATTGAATATTTATCTGAACTTCAGATAAACCCAGTAACTAATTCATATTCTATAAAGCTTACTATCCTACATTGAAACTTATTTCTAATTACATAATACAGTACCCCTGTGCTTATAATCCTAGATAGGATGATTGGGCTGCTTATTGCTTTTTAACTTCTTAATGTTGCTTATCAGTGCATAAAATTTCTTCTGACATATGTATGTTTAAATTGTTGACAGTAAAATTACATGTTCATTGGGAATGGACATTTAACTGAAAACGATTGCATAGGAAGATGTTTTTCTGCTTCATGCAGTCAGACAGGCACCATAAGCCCAAATAATAAAAAATGGAGATGTATACAGTATTTGAAAAGTACTTAGAGCTAATGTTACATGCTATTTTAGAACTCAGATTGTTGAAAGGGCGTGACTGAAGTTTACCACACATTTTCCTCTCAAGGGGAAAATGAATACATTTAATGAAAATTAATTGAAGCACATACCAAGTCAGTAATGTTTAAAATGAAAAACATAAGGAAAGCAGGCTTTTAAATACTTATTCTAAGAAGGCAAAAAAAGACTTCTCCATTTGAATAATAGAATTCACATTTTATGTTCCTGATTTTTGAAGGTTCACATTTTTAATTTGTTATAGCTATATCTTTAATACACTTATTTGAAGCATCTTAATTAAAAACTAGTCAAAATTGTTTTTGCATGGACAAAGATAAATAATAAGACATTCCTTGCATGCAGATTTACAAACTTAAATCAGGGTTTTCATAGATACTCATAAGAGGAAGGTGTAAAATCCATTTTGTACTCCATAATCTATGTCTATTAATGTTCTGTTTCTAAGTCATCTTTGCACAGCCTTGGAGCTTTAAGCTGGGACCAGACTCTTGAAGTACTCTCCTATGTTTATCCTTTTTTCAGCTCTCCACCTTTATCCAGAGATCTTCTAACTACCAAGACAAATTTTTACTATTGTATTTGTATAACCCTTCTGCCATATAATGTCCCCGTTATTGTTTCAAAAAAATGGCTACTGCAGAATCTCCTTCCCAAGAGGGCTGCTGACCAGTAGAGATTTTTCTCTCTTGCTGATGGTCTTCTGATTTTGCTGTCAAAGCTGATTCTTTGACAGCGTTGTTCCCTAGATTTGAATGGGGACATTTAGGAATAACTCAAGATGACTTTTGGATGGCTGTGGACCTACCCGGTAGGGGAAATCTTGAAGATTTCCACTGGGGATAGCAGTGGAAAGTCACTGGTCTTTCATCCACTGTTTCAGCAGACTGTTCTCAAACTTTATGCACATTAAATTAAGAAGTTAAAAAGCCTGGGTTTTAACTTCACTTTTAAAGTTTTTGTTTTGTTTTGATTTTTATCTTTAAAAGTTAACTGGTTGGCTGAATGCTGATTTATTTCAACTCCCTGCTGGATTTTATCCATTCTTTTTGCTTCTTCCCTTTGATCTATTTTCCTGTTTTCATTAATTCCTGGCTTTCCATAAGGAAAACCAGAGCATGTTCCTGGATAATGAAATGGCTTTTACTTGATTTTTATTTTTATTGGACATTCAATACAGGGATTTTGTATTTTATCAATTTGCAAAAAAGTTTGGATCTTATTTTCCTCAATGTTTCTTTTAATTTTGGATCAAAATCCCCAGAAAATATCTTTCCTGCTCCTTTGTCTGAAAAATATCTACCCACACTGAAACAGGACACCTGTTCATTAGACAAAGTGTACTAGCAAGAGAGTTCACAGGGAAATATAAATGGACAATTAAAAGGATGCTCTTTTTTATATTGGAAATTATTCCTGATAACATTTGGAGAGAACATACTGACCATTCGATGAGAACAGATTTATAAAAAGAAATTGTGCCTGAAGTGGTTGGAGAATAATGTGATTCCTGTAATTCCAGTGCTATCTCAGGTAGTACCTTCCCTCTAAGTAGATATACAAGTAGTGTCAGACAGACTTGAGCATTTTTGGCTTTAATGGCAGATGTTCTGTTTGCCTATAAAAGTCACAATCACACCTAGATTTTAAACATCTGTAATTTGTTAAGTATTATGATATTGTGTTTACTGATTAAATATGACAGTCATTTTGTATTACTGGTTACCTTGGACTTCCTTTTGTAAAGATTATATATTCATTGAGGTGTTAGTTCTAGATGTTACTGATACTGTTGTCTTTCATCCTCTTCCTCCTTGTTTCAGTAAATC